TAAATTATGATCATAAATAATATGTAATTTCTTGAATACTTGAGTGTATACATTCATACCAGCTGGGTCAGTTATTTTCTTGTTTGAGATTTAAAATAACCTCTCAATTTCTACTTATAAAATAAGAGCTTTATATATCTTATTCCCTCATCCTTTTAAGAATAGTAGGCATCAGATACAGTGACAGATAAAGTGAAGAGTGAGGAGGGAAAGAAATATATAGGAAATGAATGGTCATCATATAGAAATTCAAAGTGGTAAATTAAGTTAAGGAATATCATGGGTGGAAAACCAAGGAAAGAAAGAAAAAAACCTATGGCAGCTGACCTTGAGAGATAATTCCTAGTGTGACAAAAAGCTAACATAGAACTGAAAGCAGAGAAGTGCCTTTTCAGGTGTTGGAAGACACCAGGAAATGTGGCATCTTAGAGGTGGAGAGCACATAAAAGAAAAGTCTAGAGAAGTCCCCAAACTGGTAAAAGAAGTTATTTCACCAAATAGTTTGAGGGTGTTTGCCTTTGATTAGCCAAACCGGTAAAATAAGGAAATAGGCAGGGTCAAGATTTTCTCTTCTAGCTCTAGAAGAGCCAGGCATTGCCTTGCTGATTCTGAAGCAACTATATTTCCCTACAGAGCATGGATCTATATGTAACTTCATCTATTGCCTAAATCTATTCTGCAAACCTGTCATAGCTCAGTATTTGGAGACTAAGAAGCCAGCTAGTGCATAGCATTACACTGTATGTATACCTTTTATTAACAAGTATCCCAGGGACTCATCTGCATAACATTTGAGACCCTGGACAACCCACAGGCACCTGCAAAGCATTTGATCTAGGGAGGAAAGAGTGTGCGGATTCTTTGACTGGTGCGATCCTTGAAGTACATGTGAATGAATGCAGTGGAAGGAAGAGGACAGGCTTTAGTAAACTCAGTTAAGACACAAAAATGAGTATTTAGGTTCCTTAAAAGCCACTTTTTCCACTTTAAAATTATTTTGGGACTTAGAGCTGCAAATAATAGAAATTGTCCTTATAGGAAACAAAATTCTTTGAAAGAAAAAAATGCTAAATGCGTATCTTGGCAAGGGACTTCATATTTGAATTCAAATTTTAAGATAAATTTGTTTTTCAGACAGAGTAAGAAAGCAATCTCAGAAAAAAATGTCAGAAAATTTTAGTTATTCTTTTTATTAAAAAAACCCACAGAGTTAAAAATTGACTTACATTCCTGTTATTTTCTCTTGGATACTACATAGATTGAAAAATTGTAATTAAAAAAGGAATGAAAAATAATTCTGTAAAGTTCTCACACACTTGAAAATCCACACAAAAATATAATGATATAATCCAGTAGTCAATAGGGAGCCATTTTTTAAGGTGAACTGAAGTGTGTGTTATTGTAACATCAGCAAAAAGACCCCAGAGATAGCACTGATTTTTTAGAGTTGTCAAAGTAGCATGTTATTCAAACTTTCCCTATGTGTTTCACAATTCAATACACAAACCTATAACTTAAAGCTTATGAATTTTCCAAAATATGTTCAATTTCTGTAAACACATACATGTACTTTAAAGGGTTATGTTACTGAAGCCATAGCCAATGATCAACTTTTTAAAAAGGAATAATTCATAGTTAGAATCAAACCATTTCTTAGTACAAGCGTGCTTCTGCTAACTTTTGCATGCCAAAATTTGCTTTAAAAAATTCAGAATTTATGAAATAAACAACTTACAGTTTTATTGTCCTGCCAGCCCATCAACTGTAAAAAGAAGTAAATGCTATCAAAGATATTACTTGAAAACCATATTACCATACTGCAAACTCTTGTTACAAAAACACTAATTCCCATCAGGGAGCAAAATATGGATTATCATATTTCAACTTAGAGCTAAATTATAAAATGTTCCACATCACTGGGTAGAATATACTTTGCAAAATATAGTTAGATCTTTCTATGCTACTTACTTGCTGTTTGTTGCTCTGAATAATTTTTGGCTAGACAGAAGTTTCAACTCCTATAAAACATAGTCAATAACATGGTAACTACAACATTTTTACAATAACTTAGAATCTTCTGAGATGATGTTTCACAACTCCTTCAGTTAGAGCTGGCAAATATGATATCTGTTACTATTCTATTTTAGCTTTTCAGTAAGTGCCAGCAAACAAAATTATATTCCTTCCCTTTTATGGCTTTTGGCAAGGCCCTGGCTTTTAGAGAAGGCATCTGCAAGGTTGCTAACATTGAAAGTTAATGTTAAACAGCTTATATTTTAACTGCAGCTATTTTTCAGGTTGGATATATGCACATTTTGATTCTTTGCTACAAATTTTGGTAGTTGAAAATAATGAATAGTCATGCTTTATTATTTTTTTTATTACTGAAATGGTGGCCCTTGTGCACCTTCAGAAACATTAGTGCCTCTGAAAAGATCAGGCATATTGATTGATATGAAAATGAAAGTGTAAGCAGTCAATGTTTATTTGTTTTAAATAATTTAGAAGCCAAAAAAATGAAATTAGTTCACTTTGCCAAAATGCAAGGCTTTTTTTTGTTAGGTTTTTCTGAAGAAAGAAGTAAACATAACAGGGAAATAAGCAAACTGCTAAGGAGAAAATGTGAAGGGACCGTTTCTGTTAGCGGACATGGTAGCTTGCCATTAAAAATAGACACTGTTCCAAGAAGTCTGTTTGGCTAATGCCAGAGACTTTTTATCAACAAAACAAGAGAACATGCTACACCTCCAACATGTTTCTACATATTCCTTAAAAAACGCTGAGCGATCTTTCAAACAGGAGTGAAGAATAGAAGCCGCACTGCTCACAGTCGTGTCTGAAGGGATCCTTCGCTAATCGCAGTCACTACTCTGACCACACCTCCTGGCCCCCAGCTGTGTACGTGTGGCAGATTGTAAACAAATAATGTGTTCCTTTACAGGAGAATTCCACCAAAAGCTGACTCCTTTTCTTCTATGTTTGACCAAACTGGCACTGTTTAGCTCTAACTATAAAAAGTGAAAACTAATTTAGGTAAAGGACTCAAAAAGAAGCTGAAGCAGCATTGTAAACAAAATGCCCATTATAATTGGCCTGCATATGGTGTGACTGAAACTCCTAAAATGCTCCCCAAAAATAACTTTTTATGTAATGTATTTATTGAGCCAACAAAAAAAAATTCTATACTATCAAGTATTTTAAACTATTGAAATTCTGGATAATGCATCCTCTCCCAGGTAATCCTTTCTCTTAGAAGATAAGGGCATGTCTTCTTTTATTGTCCCTCACTGAAATATGTCTTATTAAAACTAACAGTGCTCTGGTAATAGGAATGTTTTCTACTAAGCAGGGTTTTTTTAAATTCATGTTTTGTGTCTACACATGTTTGTATAAATGGATATTAGATTAGAGCTATTTAATTAGACTTCTCTGGTCACTGTTCAGTTGGATTTATACTCCTTAAAGACCTTTTTGTTAGAACTCAATAAATATTTAATAATGATCATTATAATGAATTACTGAAACACCCACAATATAGTTCTGTGTAATCAGTGGCTTAGTTAACCATGGTACTTCATGCATGTAAAAACATTTCTAAAGTTTTAATGTAACTGATTTATAATAGTATGTCTGAAAAAGTCTAATAAAGCTTTTTAAGCATATTCTTAGCCATTCTAAAGAAATGAGGCACCTAATATGATTTGATTATGCTTTGATTTTTTTCAGAAACCATTATTAACTAACCTTCTAGAACATAGAAATTCATGATTTTAGGGCTATTATGGAACTAAGAAATCATCTAGTTCAACTGCCTTCATTTTGAAGATTAGAAAACTGAGAGTCATTGAATGAAAATGTAGCCTGGATTCATACAGCAGGTGTGAATAAAGAGGAGATAGCAATGTGAATATGAATAAAATAATTACAACTGAAAATCTGAAATTTTCTCCTTTCAGTGAGTATATAAGCCCTTATCCATCTACCATATATTTTGTATAAGGTTAGAACCAGTATTTCCCTTCTTGAAAAATACTTTTTGGAGTGTAGAAATGTAAGGATTGTTTTTATATAATATAAAGTCATTTTTTTATTTGTCTCAGCAGATATTTATAGAAAATGATTGCCTTCCAAACAATAACAAAAATCATATGTGAGTGAACATTTCTATAATAACAATATGTAACATGAACATAGAAAACCTTTTTGAGTCACTGATACTGAATTTTTAAATATTTTAATTAGTTCCTCTGTTGCCAAATCCACAGCTGTACACTCCATACTTTTTCCAAATTAGTAAGTAAACAATAATGAGATTGAACATGCATTATACCATGTCCATTCTCATTAGTCCTATTTTTCAAGCAATGGTAATTTAAATAGGTACACTGTGGTTCCTTCTGTGGGGGGGCGGGGATTATAAACAACAACAAAAAAGGCAGGGATAGCTATATGATGAAACATTATGCAACCATTAAAAACTATGCTATTAAATCACTTTATAATGGCAAGGGAAAAAGAATATGACATAATTTCAAGTGAAATAAGCTATAACCCAATTATAAATACAACAGGCACAGACACACACACACACACACAGAGTGCAAACCTAAGAAAATATTTGATAATATTAACCATGTAGGTTTTTTCCTAGGTTTCAGGAGTTTGGAAGGCTTTAAAAAAGTTTGCATTTTTAGTATTTTCTACCATTAGCATATTTACTTTTCTAATCCAGTAAATTAAAATTAATTTCAAATAAATATAAACATAAAAAGAGAAATGGAATATGATTAAGCATGTGCAACTTCAGACGGCTTAAAGTTTGTATTCAGACAGCACCTTTTTCCCAGAGAATGTTAGGATCTAGTATATATTTTCTAAGATGGTAATGAGGGAAAAGACATTTTTTGCTCAGTTAAAGATTAGAAGCTTTGCAAAGCGGAAGAGACCAGTGGAACAGGAAACAAAAGTAAAAGAGTTAAGATAAGGGACTGCTGAGAAAAACAAAAGAGGGCTGCTACCAAGTAGTAAAAACATTTTCTGAGTGTTTTGGCTTATAACACTACTCAGCAAAGTAGAAGAAATTAATAGCACTGTCACATTTATAATATGGCAAGAATCATGCTTCTGTCATTTAATTCTCAGTTGTGTCACACTGGCCTCATCATTCTCATATGAACTGGATGTGATTTACCTCACCCTGGGAATCATCCAGAGAAGCAGAATGACCAGAAGTAATGGAACCAGGAGTTGAATCCAGGTCAGTCGGCCCCCAAAACTTCTGCTTTCTGCATTTTATGCCGCTTTCTCCAGAGTGCTATGATGAAAGAACTAAACGTGTAGTCTGTCGTCTAAAATGGTAGTGGCTGTGGTATTTGAGTGTAAGAAAAAGGGGAACGTGGTAATTTTATTTTCATATAGGAAACTAGAACAAGGGAGGGCTTTAATGTAGAGACAGACCTCGGTGTCCTCAACTCTCCAGCTGAGGAAAAGCCAGTGATATAACAGAAAACAAAATGGTCCTCTGCGTAAGAAAGACCTTTGTTCCTAGATTCCACATTTACTAAATATGTGACATGCAGCAAGTTTGTTCATCTTCCTGAGTCTCAGACTCCTCACCTATAAAATGTTTTAATGATACCATGTTACAGGGTGGTTGGAAGAATAAATGAGAAAAATATTCAAAGGGTACCAAGAGATCACAGCACATAGGGGGCACTTCAGATATGTCAGTTCCCTTCTCTTTGAGTCCCAGCCTTTAGGTACTTACTACTATGACTACCACTACTCATCCCAGTACTTGTATTAGGTGCACCTGAGCTTCAGTTAGCAGGTGGCAGGCTTTTCCCTAGATTCCTAAGTGCAGGTCATTATTTTGAAAAAGTTCCTCTTTTTGAGCTGTTTCACTGTGACTTTCCCATTTTCTCACTTCCTCCATGAACTTCCATTTTCAACTATCAAATTATAGAGGCCAAATTTAATAGGCTCTCAATAATGTAGAGAAGGACCCTAAGAGCCCTTTGAGTTCAAGAGGTGAATAGGAGGAATCAGGCTCCTATCTTTTCAATTTAGCTAAAACAGCATTTATTACTATGATTATTTCCTTTCCAACTTGAAGGCTTCAGACAGGGTGTATTTTTTCTCTCCTGCAAGCTCTATCACTTTCTAATGTGGCAACTTCCCACATTTACTTTCCTTTTGTGGCCTCTAATTTCAATCCTCTTTCAATGGTCTCATCAAAAACCCTGGCATCACTTAAAGACTTGTTAGAAATTCTTGGGCTCCACCCCAGACCTGCTGAATCACAAGCTCTGCAGATGGGACCCGGCAATCTATGTTTTGATGCATCATCCAGGAACATCTGCTACATTTTGAGAATCTGTGTTATAGAGGGTTACAGCTGAATCAATGCTAGCACTCAGCTAGCTTCTTGACGGTAACCCAATCCCCAAATCCTTACAAATCCAGCTCTTGTTTACTACATGTTTGACATCACTGACTTCTTATGGGCATGTTCAGCAACTTTGTGGTGGCTCAGGTTAGCCTAGGCAGGGAGGGTTCATTTTTGCGATAATCTCACAAAAAATTATATGCAGAGCATATCTTTATGTCTTTATGACCTCCCCCTTAATCCATTCCCTGTTTACCATACCCTTAAGATCCAGACAGGTGAGCAGAGGGTTCTTTTTAAATATTAACAATTTAATCTTCTCTTCTGTTTGGAAGCCAGTGACTCACTTTACAGATTAAAAAATAAAAGCAAAACAAAAATAAAAACCTAACCAAAACAATGAAAAGAAAACAAACAGAACCCCGCTCCCCCCAAAACCAAGTCCTTAAAGTAACAGAAAATTTAAGCACTGTGTAAATGCTTGAGACCACGAAGGGATGTGCCTGTATCACACAGGTGTATTCAATGTCGGCAACTTTTTTGTTTACAAGGCAGAGTTTTGTCTCCTCTACCTATTTATAACCTCAACATAAACACAAAGTGGGGCTGAGCTTCTTCAACTCCTAACATGACTTGTCAATGTGAAATACATATGAATATGCTCATAAAGCAATAGAAAATGAAAAAGCTAAATTTCATTTTGATTTACATTGATAAATGTTGCTTTGTTCCTTTTGGTTTTGTTTCTCTTCCAAAATTTGTTTTTTCAAGTCAGGGAAGCTATTCACATCACTGCACAAAAATCCTGTGTACTTTTTCAAGATATGGGAAACAGTAGTCAAACCGTGGACTAGGCAGTCTAACACTAAATCCTTACCTTGTCTACAGCTCGATGGTTCTGTGGTTGATCCTGGTGCTGGCTGATCTTTGTGAGTGTTCGCTTACTCTTCCCAGGTAATGAAATCCCTTTCAATGGATTGGCTCCTTTACTACCCATGAATATTTCTTTCAAGATACAACAGACCATACACTTTCTGTGCCGTAATGCTTTCATCAGAAAATGAGGAATTTAGGAACATTTTGCAAAGATTTTTTAATATCAATAACAAAACCTAAATGCAAAGAGAAAGTGAATGCAATGCAATCTGAGAGACAGAGACTCTCCTCGCCAAAGGATAGTTATTCTTCATCTCTCTCCCTGTTAGCTTACAGCAAAGCTATTCTTCTCCCTCCAGGCTATGGAAAGATATCTAGGAATATTGTTTACATGATCTATGGTGCATATTTTGCTCAGGAATAGAATCTATGAGCTGCTTGTATGGGAAACAAAATGCTTTTGTATCCTTATTACTTTACAGAGTGAGACCAACCAAATGTCCAATACTGTTCTGAATAATTATCAAAGTAGAAGTTAGAGCACTGAAAGTTATTTTGGGGGCATAAAAATGATTTTATTATTCTTTATATCATCAGCACTTGGCACAGTTCTGGGCATATTATAGACAATACATGTTGAAATCATGAGTGAATAACTACTAACACACATTGGCTTGATTAATAATTTGGGTAGTTTGAAGGAAAGTCCCAAAATGGATGAAAGATCTGAATTAGGCTGTGATTCACTTTCACAGATTAACTAGTAAGAGTTTAAAAACTGAACAGCAACAAAAAAAATAACCCTGTTAGTCATGACATCTGAGTCATAACCCAGTAATGGAAGCACTGGTTTTAAAGCATGTGTTATAATCATTAAATTTTGACATCCTTTTAGTGTCATCCAACTTTACATGCCATCATCAGTAACAGTATGTCAAGATGTGAAATGACCAGCCTGTCATGGAGAACACACAGATATAATTTCTCTTCTACATTTATGTAGCACTTTTCTTTTAGAAATTGTGGTTGTACTCTTGTGATATATCAATGCTTGAAAGCACTTTAATGAACATGTTTGATAGATGCTGATTGAATGCACAACATTTTTTTGTGTATTTTATGAATGGTTTATTTGGTTTCTGTTTCACACTTCTGACTTATATGAAAAGTCTTTTCCAAGGATGGATGTATTTTACCTTTGTAATTTTTTGTTAGGTCCTGAATTTTGGTCAATGGGTGAGGAGGATTCTTTTTTCTACTAAAACACTTTCACTTGAGAACATCTTCAGATGCTTCTGAGTAATATGAATTCTAGTGGATGGTGAATTTTAAAAAATCCATTTAAAAATCACCAAAAAATGAAGCCACAGCATTGAAGACTCAGTCTCTCTTTGCAGTTCTGTAAGTTAAAATGACTGAAAATGAAACTTTGTATGTGGTTAGTGTAGACTGAACTTAACACGTTTCTCAACCTAAGTTCCTTCTTTTAGGCAAATGTACTATACAGTTAGTAGTTTCTCTACTAATTCAACAGGGGATTAGAAAAAAAAGGAAAATGGTGGTTTTAAAAAGTCTTTCCCAAGACTGACAAGTTAGATGACTAAATTCACTCTATTAACAAAATGTCAAGTGTTTTTCTTGCCTTCATATTTTTGTTCCCACATATCCTCCCCAAATCCTTTCCCTTTATTCAAATTCATGCTGTAACTTTCTTTAAATCTGATCTTTAGACAATCATCTCTTCCAAAAAACCCACTCTGATAAGCCCATAACTTGCTTAGAAGCACTTTTGTTTAAAATACTACTGTCTTTTGTATTTTCTTATACACTTCTTAAAGAAAAGTTATTGGGTTAAAAAAAACCCAACAACCTTTGGCCATTCCCTAATGCCTACCTACGTTTACATACAAACTCCTCAATTAGAGTCTCAATCTCAGTATTTCCACAGTATGACCCCATTCTTCTCCTCAGGCACTTTAATTCCTTCTATTTCCATCATAAATCAAACCCACTCTCCAAAGTGGACTCTTTACTATTTTCCAGTTATAATTTACTTACATTTTCTCCCTCTCAGCTTCTTACATCTACAAAAGGTAACCTGCCTCTGTCAGGATTTATATTTCTTTTTTTTAAGGTATTATTGATATACACTCTTATGAAGGTAGGGTTTATATTTCATAGGTATTTACCTAACAAATACCTATTAAGTGTCACCATACCCCCGGTACCAAACTAGGACGTGGGGATGTGTTGGTGAACAGCTTAGAGAGCCACTCTTGCTTTAATGCTCTGCTGTCACCATTGCCAATTTCTTAATAGTTTTGCAGAAAGGGACCCATATTTTTATTTTTCACTGAATCCCTAAAATTATGTAGCCAAGCTTGAATGCATACAAACTTTCTGAGTGAACAAATGATTCAAGGGTTAAAAGGATCTAATTGGAATAATTCTGCAGGGTATTTTTTCTTCTCGGATCTACCTTATTCCAGGAACACCATATGATTCTCAGTTATGTGAGGAAGAGTAAGAAGTGGAAAAGTTCTCCTTTAAAAGAAGTTGTTGGTCCTCAGGTGTACTATTTCTTCAATACTAAATTGATCTCCAGGTTGTGTTCAGTGGAGGTGTATTCTTTATGATCGTCACTTCTCAAATCTATATCCCCAACATTAGAAGATGCATAAGTCAAAAGTCCCAGGCTTTGTTTACCAGGCCATTCATCTCTTTGCACTTTGTGAATTCTTCTGCCTCCTGCTACATAATGCAAGTATGAATTAGAGATACCAATGTGGAGAAATACATGTCATTCAGGCCTCTGCTGATGAGTCCACAGAAGTTTGCAGAAAAAGCAGAAGCAGCAAAGACCTTCAGTTGGAAGGATTAACCACATTATATTTGTGCCTGGCAGTGAATGAAAAGGGACCTGCTAGAGCTGAAGCCTTGTCACTTTGGGGGCCTAAAAGAAGTAGTTTAGTTCTTAGTCTAGACAAACACAGTGCTGGGAAGTATTCATGAGAACCTGGGATAAATATTGAGTTATTGACTGAGTTGCTCTTTCCAGTTGAGAAGCCCCTTTGAGAATTCAGATGGATTTTTAGCTCATCCACCAGTTCACCAAGCTACAATCAACACTTTATTACTAAGCTTCAATGTGACAGGCTGAGCTTGCAATATCTGTCTGGTCAATGATCCATGGATTATGGCTTCTTCCGTGCAGTTGACAACTTAAACTACTTAGCTCAAGAGGAGTTTCTACACTTACTTGTAGCACTGAGTCAAAAAGGTGCCTGCAGAGTAAATAAGACTTAAACAACATACCTGTCAATTCATTGCCTGTTGACACAGTACACTGATTCCTAGTTTATTTCATGTAACCCTTTTAAGGATCCCAGTAGACAATCTCATGAATGTGCTGAGCTTGGGCTTAGGATACTACTCTCTGTTAAACAAATAAGGACAGAAAACTCTTTTTATTAATAATGATTGCAGTACTTTATCATCTTTCAGAGGAGCTAAGAATAGATTGTAAAATTAGTGGTTACAAGTATTGCTTTCAGAGAATGTGAAATTTAGGCCTATGTAACCAAGCTGGACAGAATAAACTCAGTTTTAAGTACACTTGCCAATTATTCGGAGATACAGAGTTAGCCACTTGCTAAAAGCACACATTCATTTTTTAAGGGTGGAATATAGTGAACCTGTATTATTTATGAATAAAATATCATCCATCTACCTTTTTTCTCTGAATCCCTCAGGGGGAGAATTCCTCCTTGGTAGCAGCCTACTCATGCACTGTACATCTCTCCTGGCACCTCTTAATCTCCCTGTATTTATTTCTTTTTATCATTTTATCTCTTCCTCTAGAGGAAAACCAGTCTTCGAGTGTCAGGATATTCTTGGTATTTTTATCCACAGTTCTTGGTAGATAATAAATGTTTATTAAATGAATAATGAATCATGGCTGGAACATTCTTCTTTTAAATTATACCTTGTTTATCTGTATCTCCTGGTCCCTGACACTTAACTAGCAAACCTATGAAAGGCACTCTGAACCAATAGGATATTTATACCAGAAATTGTAAGGACATACGAGAACGTGCCCATGTGTGAAGGTAGAGAGAAAGCGGTGTTTTCTATCTTGGAGGCAAGGCTAGCTCAAGTGGCAGAAGGAGGTAGAGTTTCAGAGAGCAAACAGCACAGGGCCTGCTTTGATGCCTCTGTTCACAGTGAACCACATCCTCACCCTTGGGGTGAATGAGCAGACTCACCCTTGCTCTCTGAAGAGCCTAGCTTGTGCACTAACATATGAAAGGAGGCACTCGCTTTCAACTTCTACCCCGAAAATACAGGCTCTAGATGGGGGATGTGGAAGCACAGTTAGAGCCCCTATTAAACATTTCTTTGTCAGATGATAGGAACATCTGATTTAATAAAAGGGATTAGGGCACCTGATTTCTATACTTATATTTCAAATTTATTAAATTCCACATGCACATCAGTTAAGTGTTTTGTGGAAGAAACTATTATATTCTACCATCTTTCACTGTAACAGAATTAAAAGTAAGGTAATATAAACAAAATACAATTTTCATGTAAAAAAATGTATTAAATTCCATGGGGCAGATGCCAACACATTCATTTAGAGAGTGAGAAATATTTCACAGGTGTATATAAAAGACATCTTGTAGAGAATGTTTTTTATAAACAAGACCAATCTAGACTGGTCTCAGCTTCTCTCCTTCTGGTCCTTTCAGAACTTAAGGATAAACTTTTAAAAAGTATACACACACACACATACAAGTGTGTGTGTGTATATGTATATATATATATGCATGTATATATAACTGCTTACAAAGTAGTTAATTTACTTGTAGTAGAAAAATTTAATATGTGAATCTACTTAAGTATATTGAGTAGGTGCCAACTGGAGACCTATTTCATAAAGCAGGATAAAAGAATGTAACAAAATTGTGAAAACTTATATAGCTCTTTTCCTCTAATATAGCTATGTAAAGGTATTTTTTCAAGCAAGTTTTTCCTTTTTATTTTTAGTTGCACCAGTTCCTCTCAACATAATTTCC